CTCCCAGAGAGTGATTGCTCCTGTGTGTGGAGCTTTCCTCCAGGCACCTCCCATGTTCAGTGTGCCTAGGGGGCTGTTTGGAGGAGGAGGCATGGACTGTACTTCATCTGACCCAGCCTGTGCCATCAATGACCTTCCCCAGTGCTTGAGGTGTGGATGTCAGCTAGCTAGCTGAAGGCCCATTGGATAAAAGCGAGATGGTGCTGGTTGGCTGGGGGAACCAACCAGAAGTCGTCATGAAGGTGACATTGGCACAGTTTGACTGAAGGGGCATGTCCATCATTTGGCATGAGATTTCACAGCGGGGGGCAGGGGCACTGCCAGCTGGTGTCGCATGATCACATGGCAGCAGCATCTTGCCTGAAAGTTGCAGTCTGGTTCTTTTGCACGGGGCCTTTGCCAGCACGGTCCGTTGCTTTGCCATCTGCTGCCAGGCTCTCTAGGCAGGGCTGCCCCTGCTGAGTGCATGTTAGGTGGTGAAATGACAACAGTGCTCGGTCTGAAGCAGCCTGAATCTGGAGACCTTCCTAGTATGTTGCAAGGCCCATCGATTTGCCTGGGCATTTGAGCAGGAAGGGGCGCAATGGGACAAGAAATGGTGTGACTGTGGGCCCGTAGGAGATGGTTGATTCGATCTCTGCGGTCGGTCATGTCATGATGGTTCAGATGACGGTGACGCCTAGAGGTCCCAATCAGGGATCAGAACCGCGTTGTGCTAGGTGATGTACATACCCATCCCGGCCCTGAAGAACTTACAAGCTTACCACAGTGTTAATGAGTGACAACATGCAAATACAATGAACATCTGGGGGTTGGGGGGAGGAAGACCACAATGAGACTACGTGCTGTATGGACGTTATTTTAGTGCATTTTTTTAACATTACGTGAAAGGTGCGAGAGCTTGGCAGAGACACTTCCTCTTTGTTGCGAATGGTGAAATATTGGCTCCCTTGCAATCAAGAGCAAAACGTCCACTGACTTCAATGGGGCCAGGATTTCACCCTGCAAATCCAAAGGGGGAACACAACTGTTTCGAGAGCGCACACCTGGTTTCAAGCTAAGTACCTGTATCCAGCCTGGCAATCACAGCAGAGAAAGAGAAATAAATGCTCCTACTAAATTTAACTGCCTGGCCTCAGCCACCTGGCTCTAAGCATCATGACCCCACGGAAAGCACCTTGTCACAGCCTGATGGGCTGGAGCAGCTGTGATGGGAACAGTTCCTAGGCCTGTTAATCATCCCCACAAAGCCTGTTCCTCTCTGAACTCCAACCCTCCTCTCTGCGGAGTGATACAATGTAGGAATGCTCCCTGGGCATCATGGGATATCCGAGGGGAAGCGTTTGTTCATTAGCGCTCTCTCCCAAGAGCTTATGTTCTGCATCATGCTGTTCTCTCCTAAGCCTCAGGGCTTTTTGTCCCCTGGCTCCTGTGCGCCCTGGCTCCAAGGCCATTCCCTGAAAAGCAGAGACTTTCTGGCTTGGGTTAGACCAAAGGGTTTTCTTTTACAAAGAAATAAATCAAAGATGTAGCTGAACAAGCAACAGAAAAACCACTCAGCAGGAGCAGCCTTTCATGCCTGCCGGTCCCTGTATTCTTGGTGTCGCTGCATAGGAGTCAGCTTTGCCTGCTTCATTTTTCTCTGGGAGCTGAAGGACTTTTGCTGGTCTCCCACTAAGGAGCTAGGACCTCAGGGGTCCACCCATCGATTGACTGAGAGAGGACGGATGGGATGGGAGATGCAAAGCTGCTGGCACTGTGTTAACACACGCTGTTCGTGCAGCGTCCCTCATCGCGGCTATCTATTTATATGGCCCTCATCACTGTGGTATAGGAGCGCCTCACGCTCCTTAATATTTATTCTCACCCCACCCCTCTGAGGTAGGCCAGTGCTGTTCTTCTCATTGTACAGATGGGGAACTGAGAGGCAGGAGTCTTGTCTACACTAGCACTTTTGTGGGTAAAACTTTTGTCGGTTGGGGGTGTGAAAAAACACACCCCTGATTGACATACGTTTTCTGGACAAAAGCGCTGGTGTGGACAGCCCTATGTTGGTGGGAGATGTCTCCTGCCGACATAGCTCCTGCCACTCGTTTTGGGTGGTTTAATTATGCCGGCAGGAGAGCTCGCCCCCATCGGCAAAGAGCGGCTACGCGGGAGACCTTACAGCGGCGCAGCTGCAGCGGTGCCACTGTAAGGTCTGTAGTGTAGACAGAGCCTAAGTGACTTGCCCAAGGTCACGCAGAATGCCTGTGACAGGGCTGGAGATTGAACCTGGGACACCCAAGTTCCAGGCAGGCACCCCAGCCGCTGGACCATCCTTTCCCGCCTCTGTTAGGCCAGCCACTGCCCCTTATCTTAGATTAGTTTGAGCTCTTCGGAGCAGGAATTGTCCTGCTCTATATTTGTACAGCACCTAGCACAATGAGACCCTGATTCTCTACGTGCTACTCTATTAGAAACAAAGATAAAAATAATATTCCCTTATCCAAAAAACCCCCCATCCTTTCGGGCCGTTTTTATGCCTCACGAAGATTAAAAAGGGCACACACCCAATATTTGCTCCTTGTGCGGGTCCCTTTTAGCACTAACAGTTGCCGGCTGAGCTTCTCAAGCAGCTCACTTCTAGACCAACACAATCTGGACACTAACATCTAGTCCATCTCCATGCTGCCGCAAGATCGTCCCTGCTCTGGAGATGTCTCTTCCATGGGCTCCTTGATTAACTTTGTCATCATTAATATTGCACCGCAGCCTGGGGAGAATCCAGGCCCCAGCAGAGGTGGTTTATCCTGGTAATCTCCAGAGGTCCCTTTCTCTGTATCACAGGCTACATGAGAGATTTCTCCCAGGCCACACGTGAATGCACCAGGGTCTGCACCTGTGGCCACGTCTGAACCCTGGCTGCAGCTGGCTGGCTATAGCAGACTGAGTGACTTCTTAAAGCCATTGCATTCCCCAGGTCTGTGGGTACAAGTCATGGCTTAGCAGAAGTTTACGAATATGAAGCTGGATATCAGCCGTTGCACATCCCACCGGGTCACCCCCAGGGGAGGTAGCTTTTCAAAGTCCTTTTCCTACAGTGTTCATTCAAAGGTCCCTGAGGGCAGCTGGGCCTGGGAATACACATTTTGTTCCAAGCGGTTAATGAAGATCAGCGTAATGAAGTGTCATGTAACACTGTCCAGGGTTATTCCGAGGCGGACCCTGCAAAGTTAAACACCTGCTGGTCTGGTGAAATCTGTCTGCATGTAGAGACATCTAACACCAAACGCTGCCCGTCCATCCCAAGGGACAGGAGTCCAGAGCCCCTCTGAAGAGCAGAACGCCAGCCATTGTCTGAGGAGGCAGGGCCTCAGCTGGAGCATCCTTGACTCCTCTGAGTCAGGCTGCGGCAGCACCCGATGCTGTGACGGATTGCCGCCTCCAGTCCCTTGGCAAGGGAGCTTGCCACTCGTCCCGCTGGACTTCTCTGCCGTGTGTCATACTGCTGGTCCCCAAGTACCGTCCCACCTCCAGGAGCCTGTGGCGGGGAACGGCTCAGGTTCTTCCTCCCAGACTGAACTTAGAGGGTCATTCTGAGCCCCTCTTGCTCCAATCCCAGAGCTGTCGCCTGCGGCGTCCGGCAAAGTTCATGCCTCTTCCCCCCCGGTATCCAACATCTAGGCAGAGCCACTAGGGGAGCAGCGAGGTGTTAGCAGCAGGCAGACGGCTCCCAGCTCTGCGCCTCCTTTACACCCACTGGAAGCAGCAGCATCTCCCTGCTTTCTCAGGGCCTGTGTGAAGGCTGAGTGTCTAAAGCTAACCCCAGACAAGACAGAGAGGATGCTGGCAGGAAGGGGGAAGCACAGGTCGCAGTGAGCACAGCACCCCAGGGCTCTGCTCTTCCCGTAGGCTCCCTTCGAACGCCGAGGCCAGTTCAGGGCCACTTTCCAGCCATGCAATTCCAATGACATCCTCAGTTGTATGTGGAGGCAGGATCTGGCCCAGTGCTCGCTACTACAGCACAATGATACAGACACTGACAATCACAGTCTAGCTCAGAGGTTGCCAAACTATGGCCCACAGGACCGTCCTGCCCGGCCCTTGAGGCCCCGGCGGGGAGGCTAGCCTCTGGTGGTTAGGGGCGGGGGGTCCCGGGAGGGAGCAGTCAGGGGACAAGGAGCAGGGAGGGTTGGCTGGGTCGGGAGTTCTGAGGGGGGGCAGTCAGGGGGCGTGAAGTGGGAGGGGGCGGATAGGAGGCAGGGGCCTGGCTGTTCGGGGAGGCACGGCCTTCCCTACCCGGCCCTCCATACCGTTTCGGAATCCCAATGTGGCCCTCAGGCCAAAACGTTTGCCCACCCTGGTCTCGCGAGAGGCCTGCCAGCTTCTTTTGAGGTAGGTGAGACAGCAGGAGCATTTGCAAAGGGAAAGAGACCAGACAGCACCCACACTCACTACCCTGCTTTCGGAGCCATGTCTGGGTGCAGCACTACACTCGAGGCCAGTGGTTCTTAACCTTTACTGCAGCCTGCGCCCCTTGGTTCTCAAAATATGTTCTCGCACCCCTTGTCAAAAATCGGTGAAGTAGGTCAGTTCTTTAAACCTAGATATGTTTTTGGTTTGTATATTACAGTCATCGTTAAAAATGTATAATGTTAATAAATACATAGGTTTGATGAAACAAATAGTTGTACTTATGTGCCTGTGTTTAATTTGTGTTTTCGATGATCTACCTTCTAAAAACATCTGGCGTGTCTCCACCCCCAGAAAGGGCATCTCGCACCCGCAGGTTAAGAGCTACTGTGGATGTGGATGTACATCTGCATAAGATAAAAGCCCCACCACTGCTGATCGCTAAGGAGCTGTGTTTTTTGGAATGGGTCTTGTGTCCCAGCCTCCATGTCCCATGTGGGACACAGGTTCCAATCTCTGCGTGCAGTCCATGGGCTTGTGCCATCGACCCCCTGCTCCCCTCCCCTCCCCTGGGGCGTTCTGCACGAGCCTCGGCAGCACGATACCTGCATCAGGGTGCGGAGGGACTCCACGTAGGACTGCTCAGTATCCAGGAGCGTCATGGTGACATGTTTCCGCATGTCCTGCAGAGAAGGAAAGAGAGACGGTGAGAACCCAGGTGATGGCCATGGCCGAGATACGCACGTGCCACATCCGTTCCACAAGCAAGGTGGAACTCGGAGGGCCACGGCCGAACCAGCCCCTGGGAGCCGCCCAGGAGAACTTCCTCCATGTTATTCTTTTCCAGTACCCGGCCTTGCAGTCAGAGACGGCGAGAGAGAAAAGGCCTGATGGTCAGCAGGCTGGGGGCACTCCAAGGCCCCTGAACCCACAGAAGGCCAGGCCCTCTGGCACATCACTTGCACCCAGGATGCTTGGTTTAGAGGCGAGAGGATGGCACCAAACCCCACCATTTTTGGCTTCATCTGGGCAGCACAGCCTAGGCTGCTGAACACAGACAGCCTGGCTTAGCCCTTACTGACAAAAATATGGTGTTGGCACAAAGACCCAGCTGCCTCAAGCCCCAGGGCGACAACCGGAGAAACCTGGTGCTGGTAAACGTCCCTCCCCTTCAAGCAGTCTTTTCCACAACCCCCTAGTCTCCATGGAAGATCCTCCTTTACCCAGGAACCTCTCCTTGCATGCTTGTCTCCTCACTGGCCCTTTAAATGCAGAAGAGAAGCAGTTGCAGCCCCTTCCGCCCTACCAGCTGGTGACTATGCTTACTGGGCCTGATCAGGAGCACAGGGCCTGCCAGACTGGATCAGACCCAGGGTCCCTCTAGTTAAGGGCCCATCTCTGACCATGACTATCACCAGCTTCAGTGGAAGAAGCCCTGTCTCAGGCAATGATGGGGTACCCTGCCCCATGGAAAGCTTCCTCCAAGCATGGGGGGTTAATATTCCTTCCACAGCTCTTGTTCCTACACTGCTTGACGCCTTGTGCAGCCATATGCACTGGTGCCATTTCAGTGTGAAATCCTGCCATGGGCGTACCTACAGCAAAATAAGCGTGGTTTAAACTGAAATAATCAGAGAGTTTGTGTTTCACTTCTATAGCACCCCTCCACCTGGGATCTCAAAGTGTTTCACGCTTGTTAATTAATTAATTCTCAGGCTTTGTCTACACACAGATTTGCACTGGTTTAATCAAACTGGGTTAGTTGAACCAGTGCAATGTCTCCACTGTCCACTCAGTCCCCCGGACTTACAGTCTTGGTGTCGTCTGGGGATTTGAGTCTATCCTTCTGCCCCACACGCAGGTTCTCACCGAATCCCGCTGCCTCTTCCCCTGTGGAGACGCCCCTCAAGCTGTGCTCTGGGGCGCCCTTTCTGGTGTTCTGCACAATGGAACAGTTCTCTGACAGCCAAGCAGCGGGGGATGAAGGGATCATACAGGAAAGAGGATTATTCCCTTCGAAAGCTGGACAGCCACTGCTCCACAAACCTCACTTAACGTAAGATGGAGCTTGGTAAGTGTCTGAATGGGAATATATGATGGGGATGCCTGTGATAGCAGGGGACTGAACCCTTGAGGTCCCTCCAGGCCTACGTTCCTACGCTCCAACCCAAACTCTCCTTTGGGGTCCCCCTCGTCTCTCCCTCGCTCCAGCTCCTCAGACTTTGTCGTACTATTCTTTACACTCAGGAAACACCTAGAGGCTCTTACAGGGGAGGCAGCATGTCCTCGTGGACAGAACACTGGCCGGGGACTCCTGGAGACCTGGGTTCTATTCCCAAATCTGCTGGAGGACCTTGGGCCAGTCACTGCACCTCTCTGTGCCTCAGTTTCCCTATGTGTAAAATAATGATACTGACCTTCTTTGTGAAGGCTGCCCACACTGATCCCTTCTCAGATGCTGCTTGCCTCATGCCTGGCCTTTTCTCAGCTATACCGAATTTGTCGGAGCGAGGCTGTCAAGTCAGTGCTGCACACACCTTAGCTTAGGAGCAAACAGAGGTAGCCACACATGGGCAAGTGGCAGAGAAGGCACGACATGATAATGGCTGCAGAAAGGAAGTAGCAGCAACGTAGCCATTATTCATGTAAAACAACCGCATAGGAAGTTTGAATTTGAGGAAATGGCCCCTCGGCACTTGCAACCTGTTTCTTCTTTCGGCTCCTGATTGCCCGGCTACTTGCACATTAACAACACCCCAAAGCCACCAGAAACTTTTAAATAGCCCGGCTCAACACAGAAGCGCTCAGCTTTCTGCTGGCAACTGTTCCAGCTAAAGGCTTCCTCTGTGCTCCATCTAGCCATCCTTTTGCAGCAAGAAATTGACACACCAATGCTCATTTCACGCCAGTTTCACATCAGTGCAACTCTGCTGACTTCCTTGAAGGATGCCATGTTTACACTGGCATGAGGTCAGAATTAAAGTCCGATGGGGGCAAATCAGCTGGTGTAAATTGTCATAGCTCCACTTGAGCAATGGGACGATTGTTGCTTCCCTTGAGAGACTATTCCACCCGTCCCTAGTTCACCCCGATATTCACTCCCGAATTCTCGTTCATTTAATTTCACCTCCTTCCTCCAACTTCTATCCACTTTGGCCCATCATGGGTCATTGCCCCCAATTTTTCCCCGTGGGTGCTCCAGCCCCAGAGCACCCATGGAGTCGGCGCCTATACTTAGATCCCCCTCTTTGTGACACCTACTCCCCCCTGCTATGCCATAACTACTGCCCCAGCTGCATCTGCAGGGCCATCTGAGCTGGATCTCCCTTGATTTAACAGAGGGAGCTTCTGGCAGGGTGTTTTCCAGGAGGGATCTGAGAATTTGGAATTCATTGTCACCAGGATCTGAAATAACCCAGATCTGTTGATCTTCAGGGCATGCTGCAAAAAGCCCACCTCTTTTCTTAGGCTTTGCCCACCACTTTAATGCAGCCACCTCTGGGGAGGAATGCAGCAACTGTTTATGGCCCCATCTCAGCAAAGCACTTAACCAGAAGCTTAATTTTAAGCATATGCTTGAGTGTTGTACTCATCCGGGCCCGCGAACGTTGTGTCCCTTTCATGGTCAGGGGAAATATACAGAGCTGAAAGGCGGCTGAGACACAAAGAACTCAGACCTCTGCCCTTGCCCAAAAGGTTCAGAGGTCTTTAATGATCAAACATGGCCACATGGTCTGTATTCATCAGAGAAAACAACACCTCCTGCAGCACCGTGACCCCTGACGCCCCACTGGGAAGGAGTCAGTCCTCACGCCAAGGGAAAAGTCCTGCCTGATGAGTAATGTATTCCAGTCCAATTCTCCCTACCTTGCTGGAAAGTGGCCTAACCTACAGCCCCGCAGCAGGGCACGCTCCAGAACCCCAGCAGTGGAAATGCCTCCCGCAGCTTCGGCAAACCCCAAGTGAGCTCTCTCCTGCCCGCTGCCTGCTCACGGGCCTCGCTCCTTAATTATCAATTAAAAGCTTCTAAACACACACTGGGCTAATCTGACATAATTATTGGATTAATTACATGCCGAGGACTAATCTCAGTGTTCGTTTTCAGAGGTGCTGTTACTGCTCCAGGCCAGCCACATGAGTCAGCCCCGCGGCTGTTCTCCAACCCACACAAGCAGCCCGAGCTGCAGCAGCCCACGGCCCTGCAGGTCTCTGGCAGAGCAGCAAGGATCTTGGCCACCGCAGGCTGTTTGCCTTCCACCTGCGCTTGTGTCCGGACAGCTCACCCCCCAGCCCTGCTCACCGGGAGCTGGGCCTGGGTGAGGGCTCAGTGAGGCGCTCAGGATTTGGCTGATTGTTATGATGGGTTGCATGCCCACACAGGGGAGGAAGAATCCCTCCCCCCCCGCCCCGACACCCTTGTGTGGGGTACCCCAACCTGGGATCAACGATAAGTGCTGCATACCCGCTACTCCCGTGGGAGCAGGTGGGCAGGGACCGGATGCAGGCTCAGCTTTACCCCCACAAGGTGCCACCTGGGGGAGGGGGCACAAGCTAGCAGCAAATCACTATTCCCCTGGAGCACTGGGGAAGCCAGGCAGGGACTGTGCCTCTGAGGAGCGTCTGAGACAGCCTGCCCCCAGTGGCTACTCCTGCAGCCCATGTGTCCCCCTGCAGCCCACGTGTCAGGGCTGGGCCCCATGTCCCCATGTTATTCAGTTCAGATCGCCCACTGGCCTTAGATCTCTGCTCTGGACACGTAGGGCCATCAGTGCCTGCACGACCAGGAGGGTCTCTCTCTGCCACTGGGTGCCACAGGCATAGAAGACACACGCCGGCCTCCTTGAAGGCCCAGCCCAGCCACCTAGTCACCAAGGGATCTTGATCCAGCGCCTCAGTCTCCTTCCAAGGCAAACACTAGAGGAGGGAAAACCAGAGGAAAGCAGCCTCGCAAGGCTGCAGCCAATGCACTGAGAGTGCCCGGAGCTTCCACGAACACTTCATCGGATGCATGCCATGATGAAGTGAGCTGTAGCTCACGAAAGCTTATGCTCAAATACATTTGTTAGTCTCTAAGGTGCCACAAGTCCTCCTTTTCTTTTTGCGGATACAGACTAACACAGCTGCTACTCTGAAACCTGTCTTCTAACAGTGGCCAATGGCAGGTATCCCAGAGGGGATGAACAGAACAGGTAATCGTCAAGTGAGCCATCCCCTGTCACCCATTCCCAGCTTCTGGCAAATAGTGGCTAAGGACACCATCACTGCCCATCCTGGCTAATAGCCATTGATGGACCTATCCTCCATGAATTCATCTAGTTTTTTTTTGAACCCTGTTATAGTCTTGGCCTTCACAACATCCTCTGGCAAAGAGAACCACAGACTGACTGTGTGTTGTGTGAAAAAATACTTCCTTTTTTTTGTTTTAAACCTGCTGCTTATTGATTTCATTTGGTGACCCCTCCTTCTTGTGTTATGAGAAGGAGTAAATAACACTTCCTTATTTACTTTCTTCACACCAGTCATGATTTTATAGATCTCTATCATATCCCCCCTTAGTCGTCTCTTTTCCAAGCTGAAAGTCCCAGTCTTATTTATCTCAGCCGTTCCAGACACCTAATAATTTTTGTTGCCCTTTTCTGAACTTTTTTAAAATTTCAGTATACCTTGTTTGAGACGGAGGTGA